AGAGAAAGAGAGTGTTTGTGGAATTATGTCTCTCAGAACATTTTCAAATTACTTTGTAAGTTATTTAATGAAGAAATATGAATTGTACCTCACCCTCAGCATTATTTCACTCACACCGGACAGAGACTGAGACGGTGCCGCTGCATGTCGTGCCAAACCTCTCACGGCAGCGTCATCAGCTTGAGATCGGCCTTTATAGAGACCGCCGATCAAACTTCCCAAAGCGATTATCGGCTGATAGTGATCAGTAGCCGATCAATCGGAGCACTCCTAGTGGACAGTAGATTGTCAGAGCATCACCTCAGCTTTCTGGAGGTTGTTGGTGATTTTACAGACATGTATTTTAGGGTTAATTTTCACAGCTTTTATGATTTGTCTGTCATCAACTGCTGTTGTTTTTCTCAGCCGATCAGGTCGTTGTTGGTTGCTGATGTCGCCGGTGGTTTCCAAACTCTTGATTTCTCCATGCCCTTTGTTTTTGCTATAGCTCTAATTGATTTCCTCTTTTCTTTTAGCATCCAAATTGCTTGCTTTTCTCTCAGAGTCAGCTCCCTCGTTTTCATCCTAGTTTGTGTGTGTCGTCATCGAATGCAAGACTCAGAATGCAAAAGCAATGGATATAACTTATACGACACATTCCCTGCTTTTAATATCTGAAGAATTAATGCAACAGGACACAGCTGATCACTTAGAAAGACCTGTGAGGCAACTGTTCCAATACTTGTGCTCACATCAGATAGGGGGATGAAACTCTAAAAGTGCTGATCTTCTTAGTTGGTAAAACATCTGTGTTGAATCACCCAATAATAAAATTACATTCTGTAGTTTTGTCTCAAATTCATCTTTTTTATCATATTTACAGATTTGATGACTCCACAGCAAACAGAACAATTTTGTCTTTACTGTTCCAATACTTATGGAGGGCACTATATATATATATATATAAAAATAAAAAATATTTATTTATTTATTTATTTAGTGCTGTCAAAATTAGCGCGTTAACGCGTTAAAAACATTTAACGCAATCAACGCAGGGGCGGAGCTAGGGTTGGCCACCCCACTCACAACTACTGTTTCTGTCACTTTTTCTCTTGACAAGAAGGGCATTTATTCAGTCACTTTACAACCACATCAAATGGGAAGTGTTTCAGACGTGCACTCCAGCTTCACTTTAGCACCAGGCGAAAGTCAAACAAGCGCGGAAACGGTACTGTGCTCGCAGCACGTGCTCTTTAATTGCACGCACAAAGGCGCATTAACAGGTTAACAGCGCGTGCTGTAGCCTGTATCATTTCAAATCAAATCGCTAAATACACTACGTGCATGCAATGTCGTGGTCAGTTAAGTCATTAAGTTACCAAAAAGGCGATAGAAGCTGCCTTAAAACTGTGCATGCATGTGATATATTATATGAGTCCCATTTAAGAACATGTCTCTGAAATGTTTTTCAAAACCATCCTGGAGCCCAGCACTGTCTCACTCATCTAACACACCCGATTTAACTCGTCAGTTCATTAGTAGAGACTTTAAGACCTGAAGTGGGTCCGAAAAGGTAAAAAGAGTTGAGAGAAAATATGATGCGTGTCCGCTTCACCATCTAGCAGGGGCAGCTCTTAAAGAAATAGCAGCCAAAATAACCTAATAACCAGCTGCTATGATGTCTATTAATCAAAGGAAAAAGAAAAAAAGGAAATAAAGAACTTTTATATCTGTAAGGATTCATTTAGAATTTAGTGTTTGATAACTTCAATTTCGTCCGAAAAGGTAAAAAGAGTTGAGAGAAAATATGATGCGTGTCCGCTTCACCATCTAGCAGGGGCAGCTCTTAAAGAAATAGCAGCCAAAATAACCTAATAACCAGCTGCTATGATGTCTATTAATCAAAGGACAAAGAAAAAAAGAGGAAATCAATAACTTTTATAGCTTTAAGGATTCATCTATTTAATTTAGAATGTAGTGTTTGATAATTTCAATTTCTGTATATTTCTGCTGAAGAGCACAGGTAAATGACATTTATTATAATGGGTTTATGTGAAGATTGTTTTAAGTTTAAATTAAGCTTAAATTAGAAGTTAGTTTTTTAAAGTCTAATAAATGTTAAAATTGATAGCTCTCTATTAAACTGTAATGTTTAATGGCTATAGTCAATGGTTAAATACTGGGGGGGGGCAATTTTATAGACATCAGCAGTATTGGTATCAATGATACTGTCCTTCAGTAATAAAAAAAAGATGCCATTAAACAAATATCAAAATTTTTTGTCTTTGTTGTTTGTACATTAATTTGAAGATTGAATGTGAAATTACAAGAGACGCGAGCGCAACAGTCAAACGCGTCCATGTTTACATAGAAAAAACTGGAAAAGCAGCGCAATCGAATAAAAAAACCTGTAAAGAACTACTACTGTATGTCATGTTTGCATCATGGTGACAGGCTGAAAGCTGCTGTTGCTTTTAAGTATATTTAAAAACGTTAATGTTAGGTGGGATTAATCGCGATTAATTTCAGAAAAAATGTGCGATTAATTAGATTGTTTTTTTTTAATCGATTGACAGCACTAATATATACAGTTGTGTTAAAAAATAGCAGTTCAAGTCGTTTTCAGAATCAGAATCAGAAAGAGCTTTATTGCCAAGTATGCAAGGAATTTACATACAAGGAATTTGTTTTAGTGACATAAGCTTCCAGTACACCGAGACAGCAACAACACACAGACAATAAAAAAAATTAAAAATGATATGCAAGTATAAATAGACAAATATCGAAAAATAAATCGAAAAATAAATAAATTGTATGTACAGTTGTGCTATAGATGATAGAATAGAATGAGATGCAGGGATGTACCAGGATGGAGGTGGTAACAAATACATATAAGGTTATTGCACATTTTTATTGCATAATGTGGGGAACATTTAACTGTTCATGAGGTAGATTGCCTGGGGGAAGAAACTGTTCTTGTGCCTGGCTGTCCTGGTATTCAGTGCTCTGTAACGCCGACCAGATGGCAAAAGTTCAAAAAGGAGATGGCTTGGATGTGATGGATCCAGAGTGATTTTCTGAGCCCTTTTCCTCACTCTGGATGTATACAGTTCTTGAAGAGTGGGCAGGGGAGCACCAATAATCCTCTCGGCAGTCCGAACCGTTCTCTGTAGTCTTATGATGTCTGATTTTGTAGCTGAACCAAACCAGACAGTTATTGAAGTGCACAGAACAGACTCAATGACGGCTGAGTAGAACTGTTTCAGCAGCTCCTTGACTTTTGAGATTTTCTAAAATAATTTTCCTCGTATTATTTCTGAACACATAATATGTATAAGACAAGTTTGTACAATATGTAGTTGTAGTTTTTGCATCTTTTCTGCAAAGATATTTAACACGTGATTTGTTTAACATTTACATCATGTTGACAACTTCATGTGTGCTGCACTTGGAATAGAATTTTCTTTAACTAGAGGGTTAATAAAGAAAAAGTAACTTGAATCATGTTGTAGTTACATTTTCAAGTTGACTAGTTAAAAATCGTAAAAAAATCGAGAATCGGTCAAACATTCTGGAAAAATCGAGATTTAAATTTTTTGCAAAATCGCACAGCCCTAATTCCCTTCAACCCTAAAACACAACACAGCCACGCTGCACATATGTTTTCTTAAAGTGGAGTGGAAATTGCACACTTCATCTTGGACTGTGTCTTTACCTCTTTCTTTGTACTTTGGTTTTCTTGTCTTGTTCTATGTTTTTCTCTCAATTGGCCAGTCCAAGAACACATGGGGAACTGAAAAACAGGACAAAGTGAATTTTTGAGGATGTAATTTCTGAATGTGGGCTGTAAACAACTCATTAGTGGGCACATACTGGCATCAGAACCTAAATATAAGGTTATTGCACATTTTTATTGTATAATGTGGGGAACATTTAACTGTTCATGAGGTAGATTGCCTGGGGGAAGAAACTATTCTTGTGCCTGGCTGTCCTGGTATTTGCGGCTCTGAAGCGCCGACCAGATGGCAAAAGTTCAAAAAGGAGATAACTTGGATGTGATGGATTCAGAGTGATTTTCTGAGCCCTTTTCCTCACTTCTAAAAGAATTTTCCTCATATTATTTCTGAACACATAATATGTATAAGACAAGTTTGTACAATGTGTAGTTGTAGTTTTTGCATCTTTTCTGCAAAGATATTTAACACGTGATTTGTTTAACATTTACATCATGTTGACAACTTCATGTGTGCTGCACTTGGAATAGAATTTTCTTTAACTAGAGGGTTAATAAAGAAAAAGTAACTTGAATCATGTTGTAGTTACATTTTCAAGTTGACTAGTTAAAAAACGTAAAAAATCGAGAATCGGTCAAACTATCTGGAAAAATCGAGATTTAAATTTTTTGCAAAATCGCCCAGCCCTAGTTCAATATCAGTAACCTGATGAACCACTGTTTTTAGTCGTAGTGATATTACTGCATTGCAAATCATTTATTTAGAAGTAGTAGTGTAACAGAAAAGCAACAGACCCAACCGGCATGACATGCATGCTGCTTGTTCTGAGTAATTGACTAATGCATTGAAAGGGGTGTGTTCAAAATACTAGCAGTGTGGAGTTTAATTAGAGATTTCATTCATTCTGTGAAAAAAAGATGTCATTACTTGTGCTTTATTAAGGAGGAAGGGAAGCAATGTTTCACACATTGTTATAAAATATATTTACTAATGAATTGCGAAGTAAAATGGGCTGTTCCAAACATTACTCTGGAAAACAGCGTAATTTGATTAAAAAGTTGATTGGAGAAGGGAAAATGTATAAAGAAGTCCAGCAAATTATAGGATGCTCAGCTAAAAGGATATCAATTGCTTTAAAATGGCAACAAAAAACCCGAAACACACGGAATGCAAAACACGGTACTGAATTCAAGCCTGTGAAGACTGAAGTATGGTGGCACAAAAATCATGGTATGAAGATGTTTTTCATACTATGGTGTTGGGCCTATTTATCGTATACCAGGTATCATGGATCAGTTTGAATACATCAAAATATTTGAAGAGATTGTGTTGCCCTGTGCCAAGGAGAAAATGGCCCTAAAATGGGTGTTTCAACAAGACAACGACCCCAAACACATGAGTAAGCGAGCAACATCTTGGTTCCAGACAACAAGGATTGAGGGTAATGGAGTGGCCAGTTCAATCCCCTGACCTCAACCCAGTTTAAAAATTGTGGGGTGACATTAAAAATGCAGTTTCTGAAGCAAAACCCAAAATTTCACAGGAACTGTGCAATGTAGTTTGTTCATTCTGTGCTGGATTCATTCTCATTTCTAGGCGCCAGAAATGGGTTGACTCGATGCAGTGCAGATGTGCAGCTGTTATCAAAAACAATGATTATGCAACTAAATTTTAGTTTAATAATATAAAATGAAGTTTAAAAAAAATTATTTAGTTTATTAGTGTTTGAGATTAAAGGGAAAAATGTTGATGCTGCTATTTTTTTTGAACCGGTTAATATTGATTTTCTCTGCCTCCTGAAACATAATAACACAGACTTGATAAAATCTCTTAATAGTTTGATATAGAATTGAATGTGTAATGTCTCCACTATATTTGAAATATGGACATGAAAGCTATTAAAAATATATTTGCACTTTATTCACGTTCGTTAATGCACTGTTCA